GTAGAGAGGCAGACGAACTCATCCACCGCGGCGAGAAGGTCAGCGTCTTGTCTTCTCATGAGTATGTGTCCATTACGACGCCCACAGCGCGGGATATCCAGGAAATCGTCGAGCCTACCACAGCTACCAACACTCTGGTACGCAAACTCTCCCTCATTGACGCCATTAAAACGCCGGACTTTCTGTGCATGTACATCATGTTCTTCGCCAACCAACTGTACGGCCTTATTGTGCTCTCGAAACTCTCGAGTATGTGCACGGACATCTTTAACAAGACCCCCGGCCAAGCGTCTGATATCGTATCGGTTAACGGCGTTTTTAACTGTTGCGGTCGCTTGATGTTTCCGCTCATGTCGGACATCTTTGTGCGCAAATTTCACGTCGAGCACGCGTTTGCGCGTAAGTGGCTGTACTTCTATGCACTGGCATCGCAGGTGATCATCCTTGGCTTGCTTCCAAAGATTTTGGAGAAGGAAAACTACACGGCCTTTGTGGCTGTTATTTTCATCTTAACAGCCAGTTATGGTGGCGGCTTTGGAACCATTCCGGCGTTCTTAACTGATATGTTCGGAGCATTTAACATCGGCGCCATGCACGGGTTGATCTTAACAGCGTGGTCTATCGGCGGCGTTGTCGGAGGAATCTCTTTTAACCACACGTACGGTGACCAGATCGCCGATGGCTGGGAGATCCACGAGGCCTACTCGTACACAATTCGCCGTATCTTTATCATTCTTATCATCGGCTTCGTGGTGCTCTTCTTCGTGCGCACGAACGCCACAGATCGCTTCGAGCCCGGTTATCATCTCAGTATCTTTGGGAGACGAATCGTCAATATCAAGGGAAAACAGGAACCGAAGAAGGAAGAGCCGCTACTTGAGGCAGCGTAAAATGACTTGAGCTCTGTCGAGAGAGGAAGTGTCGTTAGTGTACACATAGTTCATTTCTTTCACAGGATAAGTAAAAAGAAATCCAGAACGGCGCCTTGAGCTTGGTTTACTGGTATTTTAGGGTAATTACGCCAGTAAATCTTTGAAGGCGGGAAAAGTCGGGTGACCCAGAATGGCAAGAAGACTGGGCCATCGTGCTCTTGGGGTACCCTCACGTCTGGCCTTCCCCATTCTG